TCAGTTTAGACTGCAAAGTCTCTTTTTGATAGCTAGAGTGGTACTGTTTTTTGTAATTGTAGACGTGTTGGTCGTTATTTTAATATTATTATTGTGTCGCTAAGTGAAAATGAAGAATTACCTAAGAGAAGAGCGTATTGACATGATTTTCACCCTTGGAGAATGTCATAAAAATTGTTTATTGGCTTCTCGAGTTTATGCTCAAAAGTTTCCTGAAAGAAATCATCCTAAGCCAACAGTTTTTAAGCGCTTATTACACCAATTTGAGGAAAGTGAGAAGTCAATTATAAAAAACCCATTACAAGGAAATTTGTCACTGAAGATGAAGAAAATGTTTTCACGGTAATTGGTTCAGTTATCGAAAATCCCAATGTTAGTCAAAAGCTAATATCCAAAAGTACTAACATTAGTCAATCAAGTATTTCCAGAATTATCAAAAAGCACAACTTTTATCCTTATAAAGTTCAGCTTTGCCAAGAACTTTATAGAAATGATTTTGAAAACCGAAGTGAGCTTTGCATGTGGGTGTTAGATGAAGTGGCAGAAAATGAAAAGTTTTTCGAAAATGTGTTATTTAGCGATGAATGTACTTTTCATAACAATGGTCTCGTGAATAGACACAACTTTCATTATTATTATGATACAAATCCGCGCGCAAACAGGGTCATAAAAAATCAAAATACGTGATCAGTTAATGTGTGGGGTAGAATTAGAATTAGAAAGAGCGGTTAAATGTGCACCCGACAGGCGTCTGTGGATTCATCAAATAATACTTTGCAAAAAACAAACGGGCTAGCCGCAAACGTCCGTGCCGTATAGCGTGAATAACCCTGTATAGAAGCCAAAATTCGGAAATTTTCGAAACTAGCTCTGAAACGATTGAAAATATCCAACTAGTTATGTTACTATTGTTGGATAGAGACGTTTGTCCACTTAGGATTGATCGCAAATTTCCAACCTCAAAAGAGATAGAAGCAAAATAATTAACATTTTAGGCTCGAAACTCGAAATCTTCTTGGAACTGAAACAGCGCCGGGAAAAGATCCAGCCAGGCATGAAGAACTGTTCCAAAATGTCTTCAGAACTGCCTTTCTCTAGTTAAGTTTATCAGACACTTCTAACCTCTAAAGCGATAAAAGCCAAAGTGGTCCGACGATGACAGATCCGAAAAAAAGACAAAAGGCAAAAAAGCCTGCAAATTGAGACGTCGAACTCCAGTGGCGTTCTCAAAATATATTGAATTGAATTGAACGATAACGTTCAGTTTATCAATCAGCCTTAAACCTAGAGAAAGTGGCACCTCCTGGGGGCACGCCTTAATACCTACGTTAGATATTCTTTGAAATTTGAGATAGATAATTGCGCCAAGAAGTGGCAACATTTTTTTGCAAGGCTTTGGGAACGTTGATGGGCCTATTTTCGGGCTAAATTTCGGGTCATCCTACATCTAATTGACTGCCAATGTGGTTTGGTTTCAGGTCGATCTCTTCAGTGTTTAGAAACCCTCGCGCAAAAGGCGGGTATTCATGATATTACCGCAGACGATTGCAAGTATGATGTGGCCAACACGTTGTTAAACTTGGACCGGGGACACGAATTTATTAAGCAGAGCGTAGACGCTGGGATGTCGGCAACCATGGCAGATCTCAATAAGCAGGTAGAAACCCCAGTTTCTTAGAATATGAGCCAAAGGCGTAGGATGCCGAATTGGTCGCATCAAAATCCAACCAAAATTGCAATGAGCAAGTCAGGAAGGAAATCTCGTTGTTGCAGCAGCAGCAAATGGCCGAAGCCAACGCCCAGGCTGTTCAGCAACAGCAAAATCAGCAACAGGAACAACAACAGCAGCAGCAGCAGCAGCAGCAGCAACAGCAACAACAGCAGCAATTCCAGCAACAGCTTCAGCAAAAGCAGCAGCAGCAGCAACAACAACAACAACAACAACAGCAGCAGCAGCAGCATCAGCAATTAGTTCAAGCTCAAAGCCCGCACTTGCAGCAAGTGACGGTCAACGCTCAAGGTAGAGCACGAAAAAATGTTTAGTGTTGCAGCTAATTTGGGCCTTTTCCAGGTCAACAGTGCATTCAAACGACGACCAACATGGGCCCTCCCCAGCAGGCTCAACATGCCCAAGTGCAGCAGCAAGTGGCTCAACAGAGCCAGCAGGTTCAGATCCAGACGCAAGGCGGTCAAGTGCTGGCTGCTCCTCAATCTGGCAGCACCACCATTACGACCATGTCGCCGTTGCAGCAAAGCCAGCAGGCGACGCATCCTCAGCAGGTAGCCAGTTTTTTATTTCCTTTCATTCGTCTTGATCCATACCGTTGGTTTACCAGAAAAATCAGTTTTTCGTTATTTATTATGGAGCTGCGCTCAGATTGAGCAGCGGTCACTTAGAGCTAGGCCTGGGTAATACTGTGTCTTAAGACACTAGCGTGTTAATGGCGCTCTGTGTGTCAGTGTGCCGCGACACCTGGCCTCTTACGACGAAATTTCGACCAAAAATCGAATGAAAATGATGTAAAATTTAAGAGATTTTGAGAAAATTTTGATTTTTTCAAAAAATCGACCCTCACCCTTGGAAAAATTTTGGCCAAAAATCAAAATTTCACATTCGCGTGTTTTGAGCTCAATCGATTCCTTTCGACGTAAGAAGGTCACAAATGTGCATTTATAAAGTGTTTGGGTCAATAATAAGGAGGAAATCGTCGGTTAAAGATCGCGAATGCTGAAAAAACGCTTTAAATGTGCCGAAAATGTCTATTATTTCGGATCTGAATCTTCTAGCATGTTTTTCAATCAGTTCGATGCATTCCTCTCGTCCATGAGCTGAAAATGATGTAAAATTTAAGAGATTTTGAGTAAATTTTCATTTTTTCAAAAAATCGACCCTCACCCTTGGAAAAATTTTGGCCAAAAATCAAAATTTCACATGCGCGTTTTTTGAGCTCAATCGATTCCTTTCGACGTAAGAATGTCAAAAAGGTGCATTTATAAAGTGTTTGGGTCAATAATAATGAAGAAATCGTCGGTTAAAGATCGCGAATGCTCAAAAAACGCTTTAAATATGCCGAAAATGTCCATTATTTCGGATCTGAAAGTTCTAGCATGTTTTTCATTGAGTTCGATGCATTCCTCGCGTCCGTGAGTTGAAAATGATGTAAAATTTATGAGATTTTGAGTAAATTTTCATGTCTTCAAAAAATCGACCCTCAGCCTTGGAATAATTTCGGCCGAAAATCAAAATTTCACATGCGTGTTTTTTGAGCTCAA